AAATCTCCAAGATATGGCGAGGCCATGAGAATGCGAGGCGAGGGTATTACTGTTGTGGCGACTCCCCTCAAGCTAAGCGAGCCTCAGCAGTAGATAGTCCGCTGCTCTCTGCTGTGCGGGGTTCAGCGCGAACATGTACGCAAGCGCGTTTTTTGATTTCAACCAATCAGCGCCGACGCAAATGACGTCACACACGACAACAGCTAAGCTAAGTTAGCCGAGACGACACTCGAAGTCGGACGGACACGATTTTCTGCCAATCTGTGTTTTTCCCTTTTTGGCCAATTATATTTTTTACTACAACCGTCTTGTTGACGGCGTCTTTTATTCGTTCCACTGGGGTTTAGCAGGTGTGTTTATAAAGAGACGAAAATTGTTTGGGGACTATCCCACACGTTCTAGTTGAGATGGTATAACCCAAGAGGCAAAATGACGCTTGCTACTGTTGTTGCGAGTTGCCATTCGTTCTACTAAACCATTAGTCAAACGCCATCATGTCTTCTGTCGTTATTACACAAACAAAAATCTCTTTACTGTTACTAGTGTTAGTGCCTCAATATGGCTACGCTCGTGAAAACAATTCAACGAACTCAAACGCGTCTTCGTTCAATGTTGCCAACTAATATCCGGATTAATTTTATGCAAATTTTCCTCAATTCTCCGGAGAAATTTTCATAAAAATTTGAAAAATCCGGAATTCCGGGAAAATCCAGAAGACTTTCATCTCTGCATGAAAAATTATGCTGATTTTGTGGGTCGAAGAATGCTTGAAAGCTCATTTGATTTTGCACACAGATCAGGCCAAGGGAAAAAAAAGAAAAGGAAAAAAAATATATGTTCGTGGTTTATTGTGCCATTATTACTCCAATGTTTCTCTACCCGAAACTGGTCTGGACTGCCATGGCTTTTCATCGATCAACTCAACTGTATTTATAGAGCAATTTAAAACAACCACCACTGTATACAAAGTGCTGTACATGGAAAAATAAGTGGTATAACAACAAACGACAAAAACAATAAAAAGCAGAGACAATAAAAACCACAAGGTCATTCAAAAGAGAGGGGCCCGCAATGGGAAAGGTTCGATACCCTCTGAGCCTTCACTTAGTTATCACTACCTCTTAATAGCGTCTGGTCTGCAGATCTGAGGTGCATAGGGGCTGAGAAGAGATGTGATGATGGCATGAATAGCTGTTTCAAAGTGCTGTAGAGAAAGGAGGGGCTTTCCAGCTGCCCAAGATGAAAGAAACTGGATTTAGCAACAGCACGAACTCGTGGTCCAATTTAAAATCAATGTCCAGTTTCAGACCTAAGTTTGAGACTGTTGGCTTTCGAGAAGGAGCCAAGGAGCCCAAGTCAGCAGGCTGATGTACAAGAGCCACTAGGACCAAATAACATAATTTCTGTTTGCTTTTAATTGAAATTCAAGAGATTCAATGCCATCCAGGTCTTTATTTCCTCCAGACAGGACAAAAGTGGACTCCATGAAAAAATGTCTTTTTTGATCCACGGGACAGAGATCTGACAGTAATCTGCATAGCAATGGAAGGAAAAAAACATGCTTCCTTAAGATGGAACCCAAAAGAAGCAGATACAAAGAGTTGAGGCCCCGGAATTGAACCCTGTGGAACATCCTTCGATAGTGGTGCAGTGGGGGACTCGGAGCAACCAAGTCTAAGATAAAGTTCTGTCAGCCAAATAGGACTTTATCTCAAGGGCGCTACCACTAATGCCCACCTGGTGCTGCAAATGAGCCAACAGAATATTGTGAACCACTTTGTCAAGCGCTGCTCGCAGCTCGAGTTTGTTATTACTTTTGTTAGATTAAAGTTATTTATATAACCACTGTGGGTTTTTCTTTGATTAACAGAGGTACCAATAATTTGTCCACGAAAGTAACTTTCACCCATTCTGCGAGCATGATATTTTCCTGACTAAGAAGTTCCAAAAATGTGTGTTTTCCCAATATTGAGTAATTTATGAATGCATTTTAATTTCATTCTTTTTTTTTTTCAATTGTAAACATATTTGAGACACAAGATTCTTTCTTTAGCTTTTCTGTGAAGCTGAGATGACTCATGAATTAGGGAACCCGAGGAATAAAAACATTTTCTAACTACCATGAAAACATAACACAGGGAGAAAATCAAACAGAGATAAAGAATAAACAGTGATTTTAGGACCAAAGCAGAATATTTAAATAACACCGTTTCATTTCTTGCTACACAAACGTTTTGACTTTCGTAAAAGGTCTGAGCTTTTTCTGTTGCGTTTCAGTGATGGCTCTCCCTCACAAGCCAGTTCTCTGGCTGTAGAGGAGGCTTCTGCCCTGCCATTTTCTAACCCCATGGCAGGAAGACTGGAAGTAGTGGAGGGCACAGCAGCATTGGATGTGGAAGGGACAGATGTTCTGGGCGTGGATCCTCCCATAGCACTACTGTCCATTAGTTCACGGAGTTTGTGTTCCAGTTCGGCAAGGCGGGCATTCTGTTCACCAATGACTTGTGTCTGTTCAAGCAGCTTCTGCTCTTGGTCCTGCAGCTGCTTCTGTTGTTCTAACTGCTTGACACGAATTTCTTGCATCTCCCGCCGCAAAACTGTCACAGATGCTCCATTGACCTTCACTTGCTGCTGCACTTTGGTCATCTCGGAGCGTGATGGCGCGTTCTTGGCCAGCAAGGACATGGTGGTTAGAGAACTTGATGGGCCAGCCACTGAAAGAAACAAAATGCATTACAACTGTGTTCTTCAATGTAGTTCACACGGATTATTGTAGCATTCACTCAAAGAAAGAAGTCAAGTCTGACATTTTCTATGCAATAATATATATGCCCCCACTCGTCTCAACATGGTATTCTAATTGACATTATGCTTGCGGAATAAGAATTAAGACGATTAATCCACCTGTTTCCAGCCATCTGGGGAGGTTGACATTTTATGTAGCACCGCCCACTGCTGGCTACTATAACTGATATCAAAGGACCCTTGAACTCACATTGGGAACATCACAAGACCAAACCCAGAAAACAGGTGAGCTATATCATTGGATTGTAACAGTATTTCTACCCCTTTAACTTCTCTACATTGTCAAGTCATACAAACTAACACTTTTTTTAAAATTGTGAATTTCTGAGATACGTAAACAGAAAGAGGTGGCAAATTGTCAGGTGTAAAGATTGGTTTGAGTAAAATTCAAACAAAAAGCCAAAAAAAATGTATTCAAAAGTAAATATCTGATCTCACAAAATAAAATCCACTGCAACCACCCAACTCCATTTACCTAATTAGGAAATAGAGTCCACCTGTTTGAATAAAATCATCCATCTATTATATGATCCGCTTATCCTCAAGACGGTCGCAGGCGTGCTGGAGCCTTTGGGCAGCAGGCGGGGTACGCCCTGAACTAGTTGTCAGCCAATCGCAGGGCACACGTAGACAAACAACTATTCAGACTCACACCTAGGGAAAATTTAGAGTGAATAATCAAACTACCCTGCATGTTTTTGGAATGTGGGAAGAAACCAGAGTACCCGTAAAAATCCCGCGCAGGCATGTGAAGAACATGCAAATTTCATACAGGAAGGCCGAAGTCGGAATAAAACCTGTGCGAACCACTGTACCCCCGTAGAAATAATATGTGATATAAAATTAATCAATCAACAGTCCCCAAAGCCACAGGAAAACACTGAACAGGTCAGGAATTATGTTGTGGAGAATCTTGGAGTAGAGCTCTATCATGAAAACATACAGTATATATAAATACAGCTGCAAATGGAAAGATGACGCAATTGCAAACCTACCAAGAAATGGCTGTCGACTAGGGATGCACGGAATAAACGTTATTTTCAAAAGAAGGTATGAATTTACCCGAAGATAGAGACTTGGACCCTTCCAGTCAATCACAGTAATCTACAGGTATGTTGATTATATTTCTGTGCCTCCCTCGGTGCTCACTGCTCACCGCAAGAAAAGCCCAAAGTGTATGGGCAGTCCCGAGAGAGAATAATCTTCATGAACTACGGCGGTCAGTGGTCCCTTGTTTATCACAGGGGTTACGATCCATGAAAATGATTTAATATGAGCAGAGCGTGTTTTGCACACAAGGACAATGAAAATCACAACTTCCTTATTTCAGTCTTTCTCCTAACCCTGATCAACATGGAGAATACCAGACGAAAAGCATATGATGCAGCTTTTAAACTAAAAGCGATCACTCTGGCAGTTAAAGAAGGAACTCGAGCTGCTGGCCGTAAGGCGTAGAAAAAAAAGTGTGTTTCCGGTAATCCGACCGACCGAGAATTTCTACGTCGAAAAAGAACTTTACGGTCGGCATTTTTTTCAAACAACCCTCTACATTTTTGTGTAGAGGGTTTACATCGGTGCAAACTCTCGCGATATTCACATTGAGCGCGTGTGTCGTTTGCCCTGTCGTCTGTCAACAACATTGAAACATGGCGGCGGCCGCGATCTCCGACGACAGTTTAAACCGCGTTTTCTGTGTTACAGTCGCGTGCTCGCACCGTAATGTTAAGAAAAGAGCATCCATTGATGTATCGAAAAAATTCAGCGAACTATTTGATGAACACCACGGCCCGAGTAAAAACCGAGGGCGGAGGAGGACGGCGGCGGAGGCGGTGGCACGCACCGGCCCCCCGAGTCCAGAGCGGGGAGAAAACTAAATAGGTGGTAATCTTGGCATAGACGAGTCGATGGTGCGAAGGTGGAGACTCCGGCAAGAAGAACTGAGCCAGTGTAAAAAGACAACCAAAGCTTTTAAAGGTGGGCTGTCGTGGTGTTATAGATTCATGAAATGGAAGCCTGTCTATTAGGGCACGCACGACGTTGTGTCAGCAGCTCCCTCCCAATTACGAGGACAAACTTGCTTCGTTCCGCACATTCACACAAACAAAGATAGCGGAGAATTCCATCAGCCCAGATGAAATGATAAATATGGACGAAGACCCTCTGACATTTGATTTGCCTCTCACTTTGACTGTAAATAAAAAAGGTGACTTCCCCCGTCATACTGAAAACAAGCGGCCACGAGAGAACACATTTTACCTGTGTTTTGAGCCGCGCAGCATCGGGCCTAAAGCTGCCAACGATGATCATTTTTAAGGGGCTGACTATAGAAATAATTTCATATATCTTTTCCCATTTATATGATTTGCATTATTCTATTTAAAGCCAAGTGGGCTGCAGTATTTCTCCTCGTAATTAAGATAAGATAAGAAAACCTTTATAAGTCTCGCAATGGAGAAATTCCCAATTCACAGCAGCAAAATTATGAATGGAAGAAGTAGAACAACAAAATATAGGAGCTGCTGGAAAGGCAGCCACTCTCGCGGCGCCATCTTGAAGTCAAAATAAAAAAAATATGCAAATGCGCATCAAGAACTCTCTTTGTCTGGCCTCTTATGTGTTTCAGCGTAATTTCGTTGTGCAAATGCATTTATCATGCTCATAAAAATATGGAGATTATTTTAACCTTGAGAAATGTTGCGGTTTTTTTTTCTGCGGGGGTTCAGCGGGGGACCGCGTCAGCGGCCTCACCCGGGGGCTCCCAGCGGCAGGGACGAAGAAGCAAACCCCTGCCTACTCATTGGCCAGCGGTTTATAGTACGGTGCGGCGCATATAATTACAAAATTGATTTTTCTTCATAAATCTGAGCATGCGTCTCTTAATCAGGTGCGGTCTGTAGCCCGTAATTTACGGTAGTCCATTAGTCACAATGGCGTCGGCAAGCAAAATTATCGACAATTAGGTGCCTAGTTGAAAATTCATTAATATATGAATTTATTCACTTGGCACTTTGTTTTTTTTCTCAAAATTGCCTTGTCACCAGTTTCTCACATGGTTGTAGTCTGTGACACGCTGCTAGCAGCCGTGATGGTGATACTGGTCCAGAAATATACATTTGGAAAAATTGACATATTTTCTCAAAAATCACAATGCCCATCATTCCCCTGGTGGCAGCCCTAGTCATGTCAACTAACTTTTGGTTTCCACGATAACGTTACAAATTGCATTAATCCACCGGGATTAAACCTTTGGCTACAATGTGACGCGAGATACTGGTTAAAATTTGTGTTCAAAATAATAGTGTGTTTTAAAAGCTCAAGATCCTATAGTGCAAGTTTGTATTTGTATGTATTGGGAACACTGCACATCATATTCTAAATCAAAACATCAAGAAATATTTATCAATTTTTAAATTTCTTCACAGAAAATGAGTATACATGAAAATTGTGCTCTTCAAAAAAATAGTGCCTGCATTTTCTTTACAAATTTGAATATTTACTTTATAAATTCAAATAGTCTAGTACTTAGCATTCCTGTGATTTATTAAACTAACATTTAATGGTACAGTGGCACCTCTACTTACAAACGTATCTTCATAGGAAATTTTCAAGTTATGAAACGCTTCAGCAGGCAAATATTGCCTCTTTTTATGAAAGAAATTTCAAGATATGAAAGGTAAAAATGAGTATGGGCTGCTACTCGCAGCTCCGAGTTTCCTGAATGCATCATACTTATAGCCGCTCTGCCATTGGCTACTACTGAGCATCTTCCTGGCATCCCATTAGCTAAGAGAGACCTCAACCGTATGTGTCTATGTGTGTAGATACATAGATATGTGTTTATGCAGCGTCCTCATCCTTTGCCCTTCGGGCCATGAGGTGTTCTGATAGTTTTATGTAAATGTGAATCACCCAGAAAAAGTGTTCACCAGTCGGGCGATCGCTCACTATGCAGATGTTTGCCTTGGACATTTTCGAAGGATTTTTACCAACAAAAGCAAACGTCCTTGGATCAGTTGTTTACAAAACGCCAAGCAAAAAACACTTCTGAGAGAGAACATGAACTAAAGGGCAAAAAAAGATGAGGATGCAGTTTACAGTTAAATGACCATATTTTTATTCTTCACTCTTCTTAGTTTTTTACATTATGCACAACTCTCATTTATTGTGAAATAATCTAATTGTAACATGTATTTGTTATTTTGATGCATTGTTATGCTTGATAAAACATTTATGTCTGAATTTTGGCATCTTGGAACGGATTAGGGAGGGCATTTACATGGAAAACATGTCTACCTACAAAATTTTCTAGCTAAGAAATTTCTTCCAGAACATAATAATTTCGTAAGTAGAGGTACCTCTGTATAACCATTTCTGAGAACTGCTTGACATTTGTTACATGGAGTTGAATTGTAATGGGAATTTGACATTTAACAGTGCTAAAATATATCTTGTACTGTTTGTATCATTGTGAGTGCTGACCATGTTATCTGCAGGTAGGCAAAGTTGCTTGTTCATGCGCCAGACTTCATCCTGTGATCTGGAAATGAAGCTGTCCAAAGTAGTGATTGTCCTGTGTGGTCTGACTTTGACCCCTCCCAAGAAGAGAAAAATGGTATAAAAAGGGAGCACAATGGTGTTCCTCCATATTTTTTGTAGCTGAAATAAATCTCATCATTTTACAAAGACTTTCATTGTCTTGGTTTCCCTGTACAAGACATACTTGTTGCACCTGTGAACATCAATAACATAAAATCAATAATGTGTGGCCCATCAGCACTGTTGACCAGAGTAGAAAATATACTCTGACAAAAAACCTATTTTGTATTTCACTAGAAGATGGCAAGCAAACCTGTGGCCACGCTTTTGGGTGCGTTCAGAAATGCTCTCCGAGCATGCTCGACCTCTCAGC